ACTATATAATTATATATAATTAACAAAAAAAAAAATTCTCAGATTGATCTTTTACAAAGCTGAAAGTATACCTATCTACCAAGAGACCGCAATTATAATAGAAATAACAAAGAGCCTATAAAGATTAATTATCAATTTAGCTAAACCACTGGCTGATGCCAGACAATTTTACCGCTGAGACAGCCGGACACTAGCAAATAGTGCTTAGGTGAGAATTTCGTGCTAACCACAATATCGGAATGACCAGTGTGTGTCGCTAATTCGTGAAGCTGCACGGACTCGTTGACGGGCGGGACACAATTAGACAACTCGGCGCAGTCGCTTGAGAACGCCAGTAATCGTACGCCATAACCAAACGGCGAACATATCAATCTACCGTCTGCCGAGAAACATAGTTCTTTGATATATCCGGAACCGACATTCGGCTCCTCGATGTAATGCGTCAATCTGGGCGTATTCTGATGAATCTTGTGATTCCTCGGTATCATGTACATGGTTTGTAGATTCTGTCGGTTTTGCAAATTCTGCACCCGAGCTCGATCGCCGATTATCACGACCGTGTGGGAGGAACGAGGAATATTCACGCTCATGCCATTGTTCGATCTAGGAAGCCAGTCCCTTCTCTCGGCGCCGGGGTAAAATTCTCTCTCGCGTTCTCTGCGTAATCTCGCCTCCCTGATCGCTACGAGTGCTTCCCACACGTCACCTGTGCTAACGTGCAGTTCTACGTTACCAGTGGAAAAATTGTCGATCGCGTTACGCCGCCGTAAGTCATTGAGCTGAGAGTGCGGTCTTGAAGATCTATATTCTCGCGTACCCTCTCGATCCACTTCGTTGGCTGATGCCGAATTGTCATTATTGTCGTCCACGTCGTGCCGATCCTCCGATCTATCGTCGTGGTAAATCGTCGCGTTTACTCTCGCATCGGCGGCGGAGCTCGTACTAACCTCGACCGTGTCCAAATTCGTTCTCGCCATATTTCTATCCGAACGAGGATTTCTCGATTGGTGTTGTAGATTTCTGCGCGTCGTCGTCACCTGCCAACCAGTCCTCGATGATGGTCTGACCGACGAGGGCGCGGCGTCTGTGGACACGCGGATAGGTGGATCAAACGAGTTCGATCTCACGTCCGACGCCACATTGTGTACTATATAGGAAGACCTGATTCCCGAACGCGATGGTTGCGACTGTGGAAAATCTACGAACTCGTCCACATTTAAACTTGTCAAACGACCCTCTTCTCCCCCATTGACATGTTCCCCGCTGCTGGATGCTTCGCGTTCTTGTATATCGTGAATGCAAGTCCACTACGGAATGAAACGGAACAAGTTAAGTGAAATTTATATCGGTCAAAAAAAATAGTTTTGATAATCTGACGCACGAATCAATGCGCGAAATCAAACCTCAGATTTTTCTCCGCTGCTAACGTTTCTAGACAAGGCGCACCATCCTTGTGGATGAACTTGTAGACTAGATATTACTTCGGCATCGTCACCTACGGGAAAATCGGTGAGGAACTCGACTCTATTGTGAGGACGGCTGTGAGAAAAAAGGTGCGTGTAACTAGCTGCTACCGGTATGGTAGTTTGTGATAACTGCATTAATCTGTACATATTTGGCTGCAAGAATAATACGATAAAAATAATTTGGGGCCATCATGTTTATAAGGTTATTAAATGCTTTAACAGAGAAGTGATAAGAGCACCTACCTTGAATCCAGCCAAATCCTGACTTAGTGTACTGAGTTTAAGATTGTGTATTATAATGAGATATCCTGAAGTAGTGCATATTAACATTTTGCTAGTATCGGGAGTAAGTCTGGTTCGCATTAGCCCATTTGTATGAAATACGCGAGTGAAGACAAAGCTATTCTCTGTAAAACTGTACAACATACATTGCAAAAAATACATCAATTATAATCGTATCATTTTACAGATATAAAAAAGAAAAAACTATAGATATTAACTGAATAATGTTTACCTGTTAATATCCCAAGTATATATGCTACCATCAAACCCACTGGTCAATAATAGGCTATCATTTGGACTATATTCTATATTTTTGACCCAATTGGAGTGTCCCTGAAGAGTTCTTATCCTTTGCTTTAAGTTTCTGGCATCCCATAAAGCAACTGTGCTATCATCGGAGCAAGTTGCAAACATACGTTGATCCAGGAATCTAATCATATTGACAATGTCACATTTTATACACTGTGTCTTTACCATATACAATTTCCTTCATGCTAATAAAAAACCTAAATAAGAGGCTCTTAGAAATTTTACAAACCTTACGCAATTGACACAGTCATTATGAGCATTATCTATCGCATGTATCAACTTCCTGCATAATGGATCAAACATTAAAATACTTTTCTTTTCACATGCTGCCAGTAAAAGAGACCTGTAATATTGATCAAAAATAAGCGAGACATGCAGAACAATTTATAAGTTTTAACAAACATTGCGTCTGAGGCTTGTTAGGATACACATTGACATTAGAATCACATTACTAACCCATCTGGCGAATATTCCAAATTAAATACACCACCATGTCTCGCGGTGGTCAGATTGTCTCCGTGATCCCACGAAGTGATGGGTTGTATTGAGGAATAAAGAGTCTTGTGAAAATTGTCATTATGGCCAAGTGGAAATTTTACACCCAGTTCGCGTTGTCTTAACCAAAGACTGTTCGGCGTCTGCTTGATCCTTATCTTCGGCATTTCAGCCAGACGTTAATTTTAACCGCATTCAATCGAACGTGTCGAGCGACTTGACTGCGGGTGCAGAAGCAGTGTGGAAGAGTTTCTCTACAAAAATGCTTCCCTTCTTGCGATCTGTCACAAAACGATACCTTTATATATATATATAATA